AAAGAGGAATACAAAATTAGGTTTATACACATAGACAGAGATGTAAGTAGCTAGATAGGGGGGGAAAAAAAACTCATGAGCAATTACGATTTTTTTTTTTTTTTTTTTTTTTTTTTTGGGTGAAATAACTATAGGTCAAACTAGGGACCTACGAAACAAAAAAGATGAAAGCATATTTTTCCCAAGAGATAAAGGGCAAAGACAGATCATGGAATTGAGATAAGAACACCAAAAAAGAGGTCAAAATCTTGCTTTATATATTATTAATTAACGGATATGCATGCACGGATATCTGCATGCATGCATACGTTTTATTGGTTTGTTTCTTTTTCATCTGCTTTTATATCCCTCTCTCTTACTCGCTTTTTTTTTTTTTTTTTTTTTTTTTTTTTCAGGGTTTTGCAATTCAAACCCATCACGTCTTTTCACAAAAAATTAAAGCACCAGAGACAAGGATTTTCTCAGGGCCTATAGCTGCAGGTCTTGTTGATTTGAAATACCATGTGTTTGTAATTCCGATTAATTACTTTAGCCTACGGGCAGGTTACAGTACTGCAACGACCACGAGATTGTTTGAACGACGATTTTGGGATTGCATTTTTTCTTTTAATAAACTTTTGGTTTATGAACGATCAGAAGTTGAGGATCTTGATGACATCTTTTACCCTTTTTTTAAGGGGAATCTTTTTCCCCTTTTTTTTATTAGATAATATCATAAAAGTACTAACATTTAATCTCGTTAGTCAAACATGATCAACTATGATTAATCGTACTCTCGTTGAATTTGTACTATTATTAACAGGCACGAGTAATTAATGTGTTATCTAGGTTTCATAGTTTTCATAATTATATATGCAGTTTCGTTTTCAAACTTGGTTCACAAAGATATATATATATATATATATATATATACACACACACACACATATTTATATATATTGCTCGAAAAGTCGAACATGTTGCTGATGGATGCCAAATAAAAAAACTATACTAGCATCATAAGTTATATTAGTATCGACTTAAGTTTATGGATATTAGCATCGTAAGTTTGTGTCCTATATGGAAAATGTAAGAGCTTATGGGGTCCTAGTATCAACACAAGTTTTAATGGATATATTGCATGATCTCTCATCATTTTTACTTTGCAGTACAAATTAAAAACGCATATTAGCAACATTTTTTTAATGATATTTCCTAGCAATATTTACTTTCTCAAATCATAATTCCCAGTTTTTTTTTTTTCTGTTTTCTGTTTTCTTTTGTTTTTTTTTTTTTGTTTTTTGTTTTTTGATGGAGAAGTTTTTATATACATTTTGAGAGTTTTAGTTAGAGACAAGTATCATTCTTTGCCTCTGCACTATTTGACACATGCATAACCACAGAGTACTTTATTCAATTTAAATTACAAATTAAAACTTCTTTTGGTCTATAGCTAACAGAACAGTACTGTATGAATTCTGATAGCTGTTAGCTAATGCATTTACTTTTCTTTTCTAACAAGAGTTATTAATTACGACCTTGACTCTTGAAAAAACACGTGACCAAGTTAGGCGTATTGAAAAAGATGTCTCGACAAACGAAGCAGACCTATAAGAGGGCTCATTTGGATATATAATTGATGGATTCTAGGAGGAGGACATTGTCTTGGGAGTAATTTGTGGCAACAACTATAATATTTCTCCCATCGGAGGCGGAACATGCCCCGAAAACAACAGCAACAATAATTGCATGGGTCGATGACAAAAACTGCCTAACTTAAATAAATATAAATATTTTATAATAATAATATTGTTAAATTAAAAATATACTTTTAAACATACAGTATAAAAGTGACCATTTTGTACAAATATATTTTTTTTAAAAAAATTACAGATTCTATCTCTTTAAGTACATGATGTACTAAAGTATTTATTTTAAAAGACTTCTTGACTAGTTTTAATTTAAAAGATAAAAATATGTGGGCTAATATTAAGGGGGTTATAATAAAATGAAAAAAAAATAGAGAATTTACATTTAAAAGTACATGACTCTAAATCTTTATCTCTTATTCTTGATAAATACAATTTTTTTAGTATAATTACTTGATTAAAAAAATTATAAATTAAAAATAAATAGTAAAAATCTAAGGTATATTTAAAAACTTCCCCTTTGTTTTCCTTCTAGAAACTCTCGGCCCAGACCTAAGTCCATACACCTTTTGGGCTTAACGAAAAACGGTCCATATCCTTGAAGGTTTGCCATCCTAGTCTCCGTCGTTTATCGGCTTAAACCCTACCTCCCTAAACCCCATTTTCCACTGTGCAAGAAACCCAGACACCATGTCCCTGATCCGCAAATTCCCAATCAAAACCCTTCAATTCCGACACATTCTCACCCTCTCCAACCTATTCTCCACATCCGCAAACCCCAACCCACCCTCGAACCGGCCCGCCACGGCCCACTACGACGAAATGGTCAACGCGGCGGGCCGGTCCGGCAACTACGACGAGCTCAGGCGACTACTCAACAGGCGCGTGAAGGACGGCTGTTACAACACCACCAGTACCTTCAACTTCGTCACCGTTGGCGACGACTCAATCTCCGCCGTCGGCCGCCTCTGCGAAACCCTAGCCCGCCTCGACAAGGGCTACGTCATGAAGGGTGCGTTCGACGCGCTCGTGGCGCGGCTGTGCAAGATCGCCCGTATCGACGAGTCGCGCCTCGTGATTGAGGCCATGGCGCCTGCGAACTGCGGGTTGGACGCGCGCACTTTCCACCCAGTGATCAAGGGGCTTACGAGGAAGAACCAAGTCGACGTCGCGTGGCGCGTGGTGGATGTGATGAGAGAACGCGGTGTCTCGCCGGACACGGAGATCTATAACCGCTTTCTGACGATGCATTGCGGCGCCGGAGACGTGGAGGCGGCGGCGGCTGTGCTGGAAAGGATGGTGAAGGTGGGGTTGAAGCCGAACGGGCGTACGTGCGACGCGCTGGTGATGGGCGCGTGTAGGGCGGGGAAGGTGGAGGGGGCTCTGGTCCTGCTGAGGAGGATGGAGGACGATGGAGTGCCGATGCTGCTGTCCACGCGCTTGTACGTCGTGGACGCGCTCTTGAGCTTGGGATATTACGACCAGGCGGTGAGGTTTGTGAGGGTTTATGGAGGGAGGGACACGTGGCTTGATGCGGAGAGTTTCGGGTGTTTGGCGATCCGGCTCGTAAAGCTGAATCGGACGGACGAGGCGAGAATGGTTTTGGAAGAGATGAAAACAAGAGGACTTGAGATGCGCCATGCATTGAAGTCTTTGTTAAAATACGTAGAAACATCAGAAAATTGAACACTTTTTGTGATTATAATTTGTTAGTAATTTTGTTTTTTTTTTAGGATGTGTCTTTGTGTTTTTTTTTTTCTTTCTTTTTTAATTTTTTTATTAAATATCGATGAGAGTGTAAAAACGAAAAATAAACACACGTTTTATTGGCATGAAATTTACTTTGGAAACATGTCCACCAAAAGACCCGACGACCGAAGGGGCAGTAGTAGTTAGTTTTGGTTCCTTAAACTAAAGTCATTTTTAGTGGTTCCGTCCAACCATAATACGGTAGCTGACGTCACCGCCGGTCACAATGCTCGGCCAACATTTTCCCTTTCCTCCCGAATCCGATCCCCT